TCCTCTAGTTAATTGTGTTATTTAATAAATTAGTTGATTATTATCATCCATTATTGATTGGTCACGTGCTTAGTGATTAATTGAGTCTGATTAATTGAATGAACCATAGTCTCTTGGGATTCGATCCTTACTTGCCCTACTACACAGTTAGAAGGAATAGTTAGGTTATTTTTGTTAGGTACGCGATAAGCCTATCAGAAGTACTACGTTTAAAATATATTTTTCTTTTATTTTTCCATTTAATTTGTTATAATAATAATATAGGCGCCATCATACTAAATAATCATTAAGTTTTGGCCAGCCACAAGGCCCACATGGCGTGGCCAGATTTAGGTTGTGTTCTGTTCATCTTATTGGATCTGAACTTATTTGAACTGAACTTAACTAAACTTAACTGAACTTATTAAACTTATTAGACCTAATTGAACTTATTAGAATTTATTGGACCTTATTGAAACTTGTTGGATTTCATTAGACCTTAATATTAGACTTGATTAAAACTTATTGCAACTTATTAGCCCTCATTTAAATTATTGGAACTTATTAAATCTTATTAAATTTATTGAACCTTATCTTATCTGATCTAAACTTATTTTTAAAAGGTGAAGAGAACAAGCCCTTACTTATAAAAGTACTAGTATTTGTTATTATAAGTAACTTTAATTCTTTATATGAGTAACCTTATTTTTCTATAAGGGTAACCTCAATATATTATGTGAGCAAATTTACATATTATAAAATAACTCCATCTATTCTTTCAAGTACTTACCCCACTTTTTTTTATTTTGAATATTAAAATAATAACTCTACTTACAATAATCCTATTTTTTCATGCCTCTCATCTATCAATATAACCTCATTACATCATTGTCGTAACCCCTATTATTTAATTAATTGCTTATAAGTGACAACACCATGTGACTGACCAAATATATGAATTTGCTATAAACAATAATTATGTGTACAAGTGTACAACGTACCTACTTTGTGTTTTATACTTTTATGCATAGGAAGTGCATCTTATATACGGATGTTACAAAAATCGTAGCTTGGCTTTGGTTATTTTGAAACCCAAATCCTCAATCTATTTAATTTATGTGATGAACTATGAAAATTTTCTCGAACAAGGTATGTAAAAACTCCATATAAGAAAATGCAACTAAATAATTTTCTTTCAATGTTTACAGAATATCATACCCCACTTTTTTTTTTTCTTATTAATTCTTATTAAAAAAAAAAGTTGTGTAATCAGATTAAACTTATAGTCTAATTATTATATTTACTATGGAAAAGGCCTTTTTTTTTCCTTCTAATTAAAGGAGTTACACCAATTACCAAGTGTGTTACTATTTTTTTTCATCCCTTAGATTCATATATATAATCATTGCATTGCCTACATATTTTTTATATTTATTATCATTGCATCGGTTATTAGCACCGAATCTTCCATGGATATTGCTTACATCTAGATAGATTTTTAGGGTTATTCGTGTTTAAGCTCATTTCGACGATTGATCATATTTTAATTTAGACTAATCCAAGCTACTCCGTAGTAATTAGGCTAATTTTTACATCTTTAACCTGACTACATATTTTTGAGAAAACTGAATATAAATTAAGACAGACTATCATTCAAACTCTGGAAGGAATTGAATATAAGAGAGTCGGAGATTCATTCTTTTTTTTAGATGTCATGCATGTGTGATAGGATGGTAATAGTATAATTAACATAGCTTACTTTAGTTAGACTTTAGGTTATTTTTTTTTTCAATTAAAGTAAATCTTTAATTAGCTATACTCTATTTTTGCTTCACAATTTACTCTTTAGCTGCAGTACATTGCTCGAAAAGGGTCATCTCAAGATCAAATTTTCAATTTGTAAAATTTCATTGATAGAATTGAATGCAAACTTAGGACTGTCTTTGATATATATAGCTTATACGCTAACAAATAGTTTTGGTTGTACCATGTATAAAGTACAACTGATTGTACGCAGAAAATTGTCATATTGCATAGTTCAAAACCACCACATCATCCATAAACTGAGATCCATAGCAATAAAAAGAAATTGATACCCTGAATGAAAATGAATCGTGTACGTGTCTCATTTTGATCGCATATATATGACGTGATGGTCTTAAACTACCTAATAATGTTTGTTATTTGAGGAGTTTAAAAGCCTTAGCCTTAGGTTGAGTTCATCTGGCTCGCCATCAACGAAAAATTAGAGCTTGACATAGGTAACCCCATTCCCCATAGCCGTCAACCCAGCAAGGATCAATCAATGCAACCTACACATTACATAAGACTATAAATTGATTCTAATTTTCTGAAGACATTCATAATTAATCATATGTATAGAACACCTAGCATCACGTATTCATTGAAAAGAATAAGAACACATGTTTTACATAAAACTCTCTAATGAAAAGACTATAAAAGAACAATAAATTACAGTCTAACAACCCGTAATTTGTATCATTAATAGCTTAGCTTGCTGATTAGAGTAGGAGTTTATCGAGGAAATCTACCCTTTGCCTCATGGTTAATCAAAATCAATTACCGTATTTGGTTTTGGAATATATAATGTTTTAAGTGAAAATGAGGTTGGGTTGAATGAGATTTGAACACGTAACCTTCTTGTCACGTCTATTAATATTATATTGTCAAATGATCGACTCAACCATAAGCTTTAAGATGATGGTTAAAGCTCATTTTATATATTCTATCACTAAAGGCTCCTCGATTAGAGACCCTTTGATTTATATTGATCGACATGATTTAGTCATCTTCCAAAATGATGATGATTGTCTAGGTAAACTTACCTTGTTTCTAATTTTGATTATAGAATCTTGCTTTACAAATTTACATTTTAAAATGTATATCAAAGAAACTTTTAATCATTACACTTTAATTAGTTAGAATGCAATTGTTACATCGATTCCATTATTTCATCTCCTTTTTCTTTTCAGGAGTAATCACTGTAGATTATAGCTAGAATTGACAGTGATTCAACCTCTTGTTATTTTTGTTAATATATTCGATCATGCGCATGAAACCCTTTATTTTGTCTAACATAATTTGGCAAATTTATGTTAAAACACTCATATACCAATGTCTCAACAAATAAACAGTTTGATAATGTTTGATTATGGGTGTAATTATTTGATCTGACTCCAAATGTAGATATGTTCACCAAATAATTGAGTTAGTGGTATATAATTGACATTACGAGTAATGATTAATTACAATTTGAACTGATCTATTCAGGGTTTTGCATTGTATAGTAATAAGTTATAATTTTAATGAAAGCAGCAATGTTCCCAGCATCAAAGCAAAACATTGAAAGTTTGTAATGAACTATGTTCACAAAGAGAAGCATGTGTTTTGTTGACAAGATTTAATTTTGGCCTTAGATAATTTAGGATTTTAATCTACTAAACTAATTGACATGCATCCACAATGCGTGACCTTGTATTCTTGTAATTGTCATGCATATCAAGATGTGTATAAGGAATTGCTTCTTAAAAAAAAAATGATACTGAGTGTGTTTTTCTTCAAAGCATCCTGATTTTCTTAAAAAAAAAATTTATCTTGCCCATAGAATGACGAACACTTGTAAGAAAACCATACACTAAAAACAGACATCATGTAACAAAAAGGAGTAAACAAATCATAGTATCATAGAATTGAAATCTAAAAATGCTTATGGTAAAAAGGGAAAATTAGTGAATTGTAACTATATATGTTACCTTAATCTTTTTTTAGTAACTTCACAATGACAGTACATTACACTTTAATCTTTTTTTTTTTTTAAAAAGTGACACTTTATATTGCCAAGAAAGATGATTTAACACCAACATTTCAATTATATTTCAACTTAATAATGCAAACATCCATGCAATTTCTTTAAAATGTTTTATGGCACGGTTCATCTAGTCATTTATGCTGGTTAATAAATAGGCAAATTTTGATTTAGTGATGAAAGGATTAAAAGGTGATGATAAGATAAAACAACCATAATTAGACCCCCAAAACTTTATAAAACATACTTAACTTGGTAATAAATATGTATACACGTTATTTCTTAAGCAATACATATTAGACCAAAAAACAAACTAGACCTGGCCCATTAATCAAGTTGTAGCCATTTTGCAAACAATTTTACGATTCTCTTTGCCTCTTTACAATGGTGGAGTAGAACTGGCAATTCTGACCCGACCCGAATGACCCGATTCGCGACTCGAAATCATTGACCCGAAAATGACCCGAACCCAAATTAACCCGACTTGACCCAAACCCGACCCGAAATGGAGTTGACCCGAACTTGACCCGATGCCTGAAATGACCCGACCCGAAATTGACCCGAAACCTGAACTTGACCTGACCCAAATTGACTCGACCCGAATTGACCTAACCCGAAACCCGAAGTGACCCAAAGTTTCTGAACAGACCCGAAACCCGAAGTGATTGACCTGAACAGACCCGAAACCCGAAGTGATTGATCTGAACAGACCCGAAACCCGAAGTGATTGACCTGAACAAACCCGAAACCCGAAGTGACTCGAACTATAGTTACCTTATACCTGAAAGGCCAAAATGACTCGAACCAAAAAATAATTGGTACCTAAAATTATCTAACTAATTTAGGACTAATTAGTTATAATTTTTTTTTATTCCTCTATAAATGATGTAATGGATTACATACATTATACTACATAATTATTCATATTGCCATTGTTTTCCGAAATTGAATATTTTTATTAGGGGAAAAGATTAAAATTACTTAAATAAAAGCTCCAAGCTAGGTTTCACAAGAACGGATACTGACACAGATACGGGTACGAAACGGATACGGAAAAACGCCTATCTCAAAATAAGGGACATGGGTACGGGATGTTAAAATTCATATAAGATATTTTAAAAAAAATGAATTTGACCATATATTTGTCATTTTGTCCTTTCATTAGATCATACTTTATCATATTAACAATGAGGTATATATGAAGGCACCCATGTTATTTAACAATTACCTTATTTATCTTACTTTAATTACATTTTCTCATTAAAAAAAGTTGAACAACCCATATAATAGTAGGATATGGTCCGAGAAGTATTGTCGTGCGTCCCACGAGTGTCGGTGACACGGTGTCCGACACGGACACGGCAGTTGAATGAAGTGTCCATGTAACCTAGGCTCCAAGGAGCATTGTACAAAATCCAAAAGTAAACCAATAACTTCTCCTGCCCATACAAATCAGACAGCATTAGATAATACAAATCAAAAGCAAAACAATACAAATCAGAGAGCATTAGACAAGCTAGAAAAATTGATAGCAATAGCCATCCTCTAATGTAATCAAGTAGAGCTGGCGTTAATATCCTCTTCATAAGCGCTTGCAACACCGCAAGGAGCAGTCATTGTTTGCCAATCATGTGGATGGCTGAGTTGTGCTCTACTTTAGTCACCATCATTAAAGTATGTACAAAATTATGAATTTGTAACTGACTAAATTGCAAATTTATAATTATTCTTGGCACATGACCATAGGCTGGAAATTACAACTAACAATTTATAATAAATGGGTTATATCTCTTGGTTGGATGTAAATCTGGTCATCATATTCAAGTTTCGGCTCCGAGAAAGAAAAATTCTAAGAAACTATCGGTGTAAATTGGGCATGTAATCCCAGAGCAACATGAATAAATTTATAAAACTATGCATAGCATATAAACGAATTGGACATGTAATCCCAGAGCAACCTGTTCCCCCCCTTTAACAAAAGTAAAAGAAAAATCAGTTTTTCCCCATTAATCCACTATATATCTATAAGCAATAATTGATGTAAAATCATTCAAATTCATTCCCCTTTTTTTTAAGTTCTAACCAATTAAACAAAAGAATCAAAGAAATACACAATTACCTAACATTTCCCACTTGAGTTGAGAAGACAAAGAATGGAGTAGATGCTTGAGCGGTTGAGAAAATCCAGTGACGAAGGAGAACTAAGATTTGAAGAGAAGATGGAGTATTTCGAAAAATAAAAAGAAGAGAAGATAGAGAATGGGTGAAAACGGTTGTTCTAGCCAATTCTAGGGTTCTTATTTTTCATGCTTTGGGTCTTTTTGTTTGTTAGAATGGAGAAAGATGGAGCTTACTCACGTTTTTTTTTTTTAAAAAAAAAAAAAAGAAATTTACTTTTTTTTTGTAAATATTAAAAAGTTACTATTGAAATAAATAAGAGAGAGATTTTCCACTTATTTTTCAACTGAAATTATTGTGGAGGGAAGATTTACCCTCTACTTTTTAATCAAGTAATCAAGTAAAATGTTTGATTATGGTCTATGGAGGAAAAATTCCCTCTAAATTTTTCAAGTGTAATTTTGTAAATTTTGAATTTTAAAAAAATCAACGATGTTATTTGTAAATTTATATCTGAATATCTCACTATATATAAATATAAAATAGTGTGCATACTATCCAATAACCTTCGGTGCTCCGCGCTTGATCACAAAACAGTAGACATAAAAATTGGTAAATAGACTACGTGACAATAACGCTATATCTTAGACGTACTATTCCTACTATATTAGTACATTCCATGAATTTGTTATATTAGTTTAGTTGTACACTTAACACTTGTAATATCGTTAACATATACCGATATACGTAGTAAATGATAAAATTGAGTAATGATCAATAGACAAACAAAGAGTTTAAATTGGCTTGTTTGAGACCATAAGTCATAACAATAAATTTATAATAAAATGAAGCATGTTATAACAAATATTCAAATCTGTTACAAAAGTTCACAAACACGCTCACTCATACTCCCCCTATTACTCAATTAGACTAGTAGTAATAGTAATTAAAGAAAAATGATATAAATAACTCTTCTTGTTTTGTACTTCGTATAATTGGAAGAATAATATTATCCTATAATTTTAAATTATAATTCTTATGATCTTAGATAATCATACGATTTGATTATTTGAGAAGATAAAACAACATCCGAGGTTGTAGTATTAAATATCATAATATTTACACATATAATATTATGATAATTGATACACGCGTTTGTTTGTTTCCTTGATTATTTAATGTAGCAAGAAACAAGAATGATAATAGTTCTAACACGCATAACAACAATTTTTTTTTGACCAAATCTTAAGTTTAATTGTGAAGATAGTACAAAAAATGTTTCTAATGTAATAATGGATTAATGGTACGACTGTATGAGTAATGTGTAATTTTGCAATTCACAAAGAGTCCTACTTGATTATTATTACGACTATTTCACCAAATGCCACTAAGCATTTTAATAATTCGCCAAATACCATCAAGGTTTTCAAAATTCACCAAATACCACCGAGTTTTTACAAAATTCACCAAGTTTCATTAATGACTAACGGCCGGTAACTTCGTTAGTCAGTAGGATTAAATCATGACACATGTCATGATATGATTGGTTCATTTTAATCATTTATTTTAATTAATAAAAATAACATTTTTTTCTCGATTTTTGTGACGAAAAGTATTAGGGTAAAATTTTGGGGGTTATTTTGACCCTTTATGGATTCAAATTAAGCTTGAAATTGAAAAAAAAAAAATAAATAAATGTCTCATTTTGTGTGTCGAAAAATATCTCGATTAGCGAGTCATTATTTTTTAACCATGAAAATGGGTTCAAAATAAGCTTGGAATTGGCAAAAAAAATTAACGTAAATGCCCCATTTTGTATGTCAAGAAATATCTTGATTAGCGTGTCGTTTTTTTAACCATTAAAATTGACCGGATAAGGTTTTGAGGGCCATTTTGATCCTTTACGGGACTCATTTAAGCTCATATTTGGCAAAAAATAAATGCCCCGTTTTGTAATTTTTACGGTAAAAAAAAATTACGATCGTAACACGCAAACCAAGGCATTTACATTATTTTTTTTCCCGATTCCGAGCTTATTTAAGTCCCATAAAGGACCCAAATGACCGCCAAAACCTTACCTGGACAATTTACATAGTTAAAAAAACCGACACACAAAACGGGGCATTTACGTTATTTTTTTTGCCAATTCTAAACCGGATTTGAATCCGTAAAGGGACAAAATGACCTCCAAAACCTTAACCGATAAATTTTCATGGTCAAAAAATAATGACTCACTAATCGAGATATTTTTCGACACACAAAACAGAACATTTACATTATTTTTTTTGCCAATTTCGAGCTTAATTTGAATCCATAAAGAATCAAAATAACCCCTAAAACTTTATCCGAACAATTTTGTCATGAATATCGCGAAAAAAAATATTTTTTATTAATTAAAATAAAAAAATGAACCAATCATATCATGACATGTGTCATGATTTAATCCTAATGACTAACGGAGTTAACGGCCGTTAGTCATTAATGACACTCGGTGAATTTTTTTAAAAAACTCGGTGGCATTTGGTGAATTTTGAAAACTTTGATGGCATTTGGTGAATTATTTAAATTTTTGAAAACTGACCCGACCCAAAGTGACTTGACCCGAACTTATCCCGACATCTGGACCCGAAAGTTGACTTGACCCGAATCGAACCGACCCGAACTTGACCCGACTTGAACTTGACCCAACCCGAAATTGACTCGACAACTTGACCTGAATATTGACCTGACCCAACCCAAACTTGACCCGACTCGAACTCGACCCGAAACGTTGACTCGAATTGACCTGACCTGAACATATGTTGACCCGAAATTGACCCGACCCAAACGACCTGTTTGCCAGGTCTAGGTGGAGCTTCAGATTAATCATAAAATTGTTAAAAAAAAAAAAAAAAAAAGTGTTCATTGTAACTCCGATCTCTATGTATCGTATGGTGAAACATACTTGTAGTTGTTGTAGATCAGTAGGAATAACTTGGCTAGGACCGAACCAAATCGGGTCCTCGTCGCTAGTAACCATGATTCCACGACCAAATCTAGGTCGTCTACCACAACTTGGTTTCATTCCCCTCACCGATCCTATGCCTTTTTGTCATAATAAAATTTGTATCTCCATGTTTTCTAGAATCGTATTTATGAAACATACAAACGCATAACTACGGAGTAATACACTAATACATGTGTCAAAGGCTTAGTTAGGGCAGAGGCGCAGAGCTTTAGTTATTTGAAGTTACCTCTTCCTCTTTATAGAATTTAAGAAAAATAATCTAATGTAGCAACCTTATTTTCTTCCTTCTCCCCGACAAAAAAATAAATAAATAAATAAATAAATAAATAAAATAAAATAAAATAAAAATTGGTAGTAGTCCCAGGAATAAGACACATGGAGAGAATGTTATATACATCAGGGTACACGGTGTACCCAAGTGTATTTGTTTGCTCATTTTATCAATAAGGCTTCCCCAGTTAATCTCCGTGATAAACAAATTTCGTTTATTACGAAGTAAAACCGCTACCTCAACTAGCGGTTTTAAGGCAAAACCGATATCTCAAGTAGCAGTTTCAAGGCAAAACCGCTACCTCAAGTAGCAGTTTTACCCATTTTCATCGCAAAAATTACACTTTTGTCCGTTTATCACAAAGATAAACTTGTATTTCCTTTTTATCAATAATCATCGAAATGAACAAATAATACCCTTGAAAAATGTTAATATAAATTTCTTGAGACATGGGGATGAAGTGGAAAATCAAAATAATGACAAGATTAATTTAGGAAATAAATTTGCTTGACAGGGTTAAAATTTATAATGTAGTTACGAGAACATTATTGTTAAGCACCCTATTGAAAAAAAATCAGAACATCAATACGAGACGGAGAAATTACCTTTGAGTATATATTCAACTCTACTTTGTAGTCCGTACTCCATACTTTCTTCATTTTTTTTTTTTTTTGAGTAACCGTACTCCATATTTTGTACTCCCTCCGTTTTTAAATACTTATTTTACTTTTTATTTTTGGCCGTTTTTTAAATACTTGCTCCATTTTCTTATTTGAAAAGTTTTTATAATATTTAATTCATTTCTCTCAACTAGTGGACCCAACATAAATAAATATTTTATTAATTTTATATTCTCTCCTCCAATTCTCTTCACTACTTTTGCTTTTTACAATTTTTTATTCTTTCACCTACCCCACTACGCCCATATTGTATTACTTTCTCCAATTTCTCCTAAAACTCCACGCATGAAAAAATGGAGCAAGTATTTAAAAACGGAGAGAGTTTAGTTAGTAGTGACACACACTATTCACTATGTTTACGATCTAACTTTGAACTTGAATTCCTTAGTATGTGTGTAATTATAAATTACTTCGTACTAGTTATATGGGCCGAGATGGAACCAAGATATTGGTGTAGGCCCAATTTATCAGTAAGTGAACACTTATTTTTTTAATACCGTATAAAAAGCCTAACAAATGACTTTGAACTTTGGCTAGTGATTCTTTACCTTCAGTTTAGTTCACCATGATTTGTGGCAACTGCAATAACAATTCGTGGCCCAAAGTCTACAAAGTAACAAATTTTTTTTTTTTTTTTTTTTGGTTGGTAAGGAGAAGGGCCTATCGGGCCGGAACCTCTCACATGTCCTCCCGGCCCAGGTTACAAAATGGATTTTTTTTTTTTTTTTTAAGGAAAAAATGGTTTTATTTGGTATAACAAAAGTAACACTACTTTTTCTTTCAAATTCCAAAAAAAAAAAAAAAAAAAAAAAAAAAACAGTTATTCCACCAAAATGTCATTGGGGTTTTCAAAATTCACCATATGCCACTGACAAACAAGATAATGTCATGTCATGCCATTAATGAAGTATGGTCGTTAGTTCTCCGTTAATTGCGAATTGACGATTTTGCCCTTATTGTGTTTAATGGCGCCATAAAGTCAACTCCTGAATTGACCTAATAACTTAAAAAAATAAAAAATTGAGGTCTCAAAGTCTTCATCGTCTCAACCTTCTCTGTTCTTCATGCAAAGTCTTCATCAGTCAACCATGCAAATCGATCAAGGAAGAAACTTGCTCTAAGTCTAAAATATGATCAGCAATCGCAAGTAGCAGGAAGTAGTAACTGTGGTTGTATTTGGGGGAATTGAAGTCGTTGTTCGCAAGGAAGGGGAGCAGTGGTAGTGACTCGAAGCAAAGTGTTCTAACGGTTCCAAACTAGCACGCAAGGTAACACTATGTCCATCGATC